TCTCCATCTCTGGTTCCGTCTTTGCCTTCTCTTCTTTGCAGTGGTAAAACATGGAGCAGGACCAACAAGAGCAGCTGCTGCAAGCAGTGGAGCTGCACAATCCTCCAGACTCTGGTTAAAGCTGCTGGAGTCTCACCAGAGCCCTGTTTGTGTGGGTTTGGCATCTTTATCACTGTTTATAGCAGGGAGGCACATGGCATCTTCACCCACCCACACTGTCTATAGATAACAGCTCATCCACAGCATGTGGCACCAGCCAGCCTTGCCCCAGGGAGCCCAGGCTGGGAGCTGAGCAAAGGCTCAGCTCCACAAGTGTTATGCAGATACCATTAAAGATATAATGGACATCGTTGCCTTGCAAGAGAACCCCATTTGCCCAGACCAACCTACATCCTCCTGCTGGAGGAGCCAGCTGTCCCCACCCACATCACAGCTGTGGGCTCTGCTAAGGACCATGCTTTGCCCAGCTTGCATCCCTTGGCTTTCCAAGCAGCTGCTATCACAGAAACTGTGGAGGAGGGAAAAAGAGAGCATGCAGACCAGGAATGAAGAAAGGTTCACTGTCAACTCCTGTGTTCAAATACCCCCCCAAGAGCTGCCTCTGGGAAGGCTAATGCAGATGTTGCTCTTCACAAATATAGCTCAGGGCACTGTTTCTCTCTGCCCACTGCTGCCCTCACAACTGACAGTCGTCTTGTTCCCAAAAGCATGACTTATACTCAGCTGAGCCTGAGTCCTGGAGGGGCTGGTTGGGGCGCGAGAGAGAGCTGGAACGTGACTTGAATGGCACTGTATACACGGCTGTGCGTAAGAGCACAAACCACAGTAGACTCTGAAGATAACGAATGGCCCATGACTGGCTCTCATAAATGCAGGCGGGTTGTTAAAACCCTGTGATCCATCAGCTGCGCTCCCCTCCAGCCCACAGCACGCACTGCGCACTGCCTGCCGCACTCAGACTCTCCGCACACCTCCAACAACAGGCGGCTGGTGATTAACAAGTTGTTAATGAGAACAGAGCTGGTGTTTGTCAATAATGCTCCATCACCAGACCCATGGAGCCCTTATGAAGTATGAGTGCCCTGGGCTGCTCTGCGGCAATGCAGGCAAACAGCTCACCCTCCTCAGCCCATCAATTTGGGGACACCGGCATCTGTGGCCAAAGGACTTCTCTCAGAAACCTTCTTCTTGCAGACTCCCCATGTCTTAGATTAAATAAGACTTTTGCATGCCTGTGACCGGCATGGCATTTTCTAGTCTTTTCTCGGTGCGTGGGATAAATGCATAAAAAGAAGCATGGAGATGTGGCACTGAAGAACATGGGTTAGTGAGCAATGGGTTATTGGTTGGGCTTGATGGTCTTAGAGGTCTTTTCCAACTGAAAGATTTTATGAGCTTCCCCTGAGGGGACTTGGAAGGGTCTGCTGGCTCCATGAGAAAGTAGATATCCATCTTCTCTAGTAGCAGAAGCATGATGGCTGCATTTAGGGCAGAGAGTTCTATGCCCAGAACAGGGCCTGCAGCTCCCAATGCTGTGAGTGCTGGGTAGTGGGCAGCAGTTGGTGCTGTCAGAACCATCCTTAGCAATGACTCATGCCATGGTTTGACATCAACCAGCTTCAGGCAAGCCAAGCCTTTGAAAAACAAAACAAAACAAAAAAAAAAGAAAGGGAAATAATGCTTTGAGTTTTTCTGCATCATTCTTTTTCTTCTTCTTCTTTTTTTTTTTTTTTTTCTTTCTTCTTTTTCCCTCGGAAAGCAAGGTCCTGCAAACTAACTGTTGATTGAGCTCAGCTGGCATGCATTATCTGTGCTCAGGAGCGAGGCACAGCATGCAGTCCCCTCCACTGCCGCAGGTTTGCTATCAACCCCTGCCACCTGTGTAATCACTTCAGTCATGCCAGGCTCTGCCCCCGCTGCAATTTCACAGCTGCTCGGTCAGGGGGGAAATCTGGGTGATTTGGGCTTGTCTGAGAGCATTACAATGGCATGCCAACGTTTAAAGGGACACCGGTGTGCATGGAGAGGGGTGGGCATGGTGGATACTCACAGGGCTCCTGTAGGGCTGGAGCTCCTGATGGGTCCTCACAGGGTTCAGTGATCCCCAGGATTGGAGCTCTTGGATGAGCTTGGACAAGGAAAGTGTTCTGAACTTGGGCACCTGGGGATGGCAAATGTTCTTGACGTGAGCAACTTAGGACTAAGAAAGGCTGAGGGGATCAGGCTGTGAGGAAGGACTATAGGCTTTGAGACTGCCCCAGCTTCCTTTTCTCTGCAGGTAAAAAAAGTCTTACTGGCTTTTCCTCTCAAAGATGTGCCAGAGATGCTCTGATCTCATGCCTGTCCTCCAGCAGTGGTACAGGAACAGCCAAGCTCATAACCTGTCCTGTTCCAGCACCTCAAACCTCACACTCTCCAAAACATTTAGGGGCTTCCATTCCAGCAAAATGAAAAGAATCAAAGTACCCATCAGAGTCAGGTTAAGCACCAGCACAGGCACAGCTCTGGGAGCTGTCAGGAACTGCTGAGGAAAAGGGAAGAAAGCTCAATATTTCCATTCACAGCATTATGGATCTGATTTTCTCTCGCAGCCGAGCGAAGCATTGATTTATAGCAAGCAGCCACTGGGCTGTGCTGATAGCACAGAATATATTGTAGGTCCTCTCAACAGACGCCGCATGGATGCAGCAACCAGCAAGGGGCAGTGGCACGACCCTCCCGCAGGACGTGGCAGCAGGAGGGTCGCAGCTCACCCGTCCCCAAGAGCCCCCCAGGACTTCAGTGTCGCGCAGCTCTCTGTCCCCACAGCGGTCCATGTGCCACCTAGCGGCACGCCGGCTGCGGGGACACACGGCGGGCTGCCTCCCCTCGCCCTTTGCCTCTGTGCTCCTTTCCCCATCCCCTTGCATCCTCCTCCTGTCCCCATCTCGCTGTCCCTCCTTTCTCCCCGTTGTCACGTGTTTTTTTTTTGCGATGTCCGCACATCCTTCTTTCTTTCCCCCTCACTTCTGGGCTGATGACACCTCCACCTCATGTGGACTGTTACAGCATAGCATGGAGCAGGACATAAGGACAGGGGACAGCAAAGACCCCATGGACCTGCCTCATCCCAGGCTCACGAAGCAGGGAGATTGTTCTGCAGGTCGCCTGTGGGTCCCCATTGCCACCGCCTTGCTTTGCCTGCCCAACAGGTGCCCTCAGGGGAGGGGTCTCTCTGCCTCTATAGCTCTGGGGCTGCAGAGAGACCCCCGCAGCAGGGGGATGCGTGCCTCCAAGGATGCTTTTGGTGGGACTCCGCCAGCAGGGAGAGCCACGAGGGGGCTCCAGGAACCCGTCTGAACGGGCGGAAAGATGCAGGGAGCCGAGCTCATATCTCCTGTGGGATGGAGGAGAGATGCTGCGAGTAGAATGGGCAGTGCTCGTGGGAGGGATGTTCGCAGCACCCGGGCCATCAGCTGGGAGGGCTGCTCATGGGGTCACTGAAGGCTTAAAGCTGCTCCTGAATTACAGGAGCTGTTCCAAAAAGCTACAGAAGTTATTACGGAGGAAAAATGAGTGCACAGAGGGCCCACTCTGCAGAACAGACAAGGAAAAAAGACTGTGACGTGTTCAGACAAGAGCACACTTCCCTGCAAAAAATAAAGCCCTGCACTTGACACGTTGCAGAGCTATTAATTAGTTTGATCAGCTTGCCTGGGTGTTGTGTTAACTTGAGTGAGAGTTGATGTTTGTACAGTGATGAGCTGTTAGAACTTCCCAAATAGAGACACAAATAATGGCAGGCTGAGCTCTCTGCTTTGCTCAGAGCTCTCTGCTACTTTCTGAGAGCTCTTCTATTCATACCTTTCTATTTTACTCAACTGTGTCTCCTAAGCACCCAGTGCAGAAGCAGTGACCCATGAGAGTGAGAGAAGCGTTTTCTGCACCGAAAGCCAAGAAACTGTCAGCCCCAGGAGCACAAAGGCAAGAAATGGAAAATCTCTCTATTTCCCCCTTGGACCTCTTCCCTCCCAGCTTGTCATTTGCTGGAGGGGCTGCAGGGCTGGGGGACTGGAATTTCCATTGCATTTGTAACGGCAGAGACTGGGAGGACTGGGAGGTGGCAGAGTGATGCCCCCTGGTCTCTTTCAGTCTCCTGTTTGTGTGTGCATTGTGACACACTGTGTATGTACCCGTGCTGGCCAGGGGATGTCTGTGGGGTTTACGTTAACCAGCTCAAGCTGAAGCTGCTCAACAGCTTCAACCGCTCTTCAAGTTTGGCTCTTTATGTCCTGAAGTGTGTCGTTCCTGGAGAAGGGGCTGGGGCTCCTGGTGCAGAGAATGGAAAAGAAACTCCTGTTTCTTTGTGGGAGCGTGCAGGTCTTTGCCTTGCGGCGCAGAGCCGGGCTCCAAGCCTGCAGCTCCGGAGTGCAAAGTTATTGCCCTGAGCAGAGTCCGCATCAGACGCTGCTCTTTATCCCGGGGACAAAGTGCTGATCCCAGCAATCCCCGAGCTTTGTGGGAAGTGCAAATCCGAGCTCTGAGCTCCCAGCTTTGATTCCGACTGCTGCAAACAGAAAGTTTCCTGGAAGCCGGACTGCGGTCCCAAGCAGAGAAGCTGAAATCGGGTCCTGAGCGCTGATCCCGGCTACAGCTCCATCCCCGTAGCACTTCAGCACCGCACAGGCTTTTTTTTTTTATTATTTTTTTTTTATTTTTTTTATTTTTCACACGTTCTTGCCTTCTGTTTTTGCTGGAAGCTCCATTGCTATTGAGAGGCAAATTTTTGCCATCTGGCAAGGCAGCCTGCAGAGGAACAAGAGAGAGAGTAAAAAAACAACACACAATGTGCATGAGCACACACACACAAAACTCTGGAGACTGGAGAAGACAAAAAGGAGAGGAGAGGAGAGGAGAGGAGAGGAGAGGAGAGGAGAGGAGAGGAGAGGAGAGGAGAGGAGAGGAGAGGAGAGGAGAGGAGAGGAGAGGAGAGGAGAGGAGAGGAGAGGAGAGGAGAGGAGAGGTTCAATGCAGGCAGGTCCGTGTGTGCGTGCAGGGATGTGGGGAACGGTTGCAGGCAGAGGAAGGCGTGACCTGCATGGAAAATGCCAGACAACCCCAGACACACACACATAGACGCGCACACGCTCGCAAGCCTCCGGACAACGATAAGGCGGACAGCGGAGCGCGGGGAAGCAGCAGTCCCCGCCGCCCAGCCCGCAGCGGGGGCTCTCCTCTCCCAGCGGCAGGATGAGGTGAGTGCCGCCGGGAGCAGCGCTGCCCTCCCCGGAGCGCGGAACCGCTTCCCCGTGCGGACGGGACACGGGGCCGCATCGCCGCCGTCGGGCGGGGGCTGCGGGGCGCGGGGCTCACCCCGAGTGGGGTACGGCTCTGGAACGGGATCGGAGCCTGGGCAAGGCTGAGCTGAGCCCTGCCGAAGGGAAGCTCGCGTTCGGGTCAAGAGGGTGATGCCCGTTTGCGCCCACCGAGCAGGAGAGAAACAGATTTTCCCTGCACGCATTTTTGTGGTTTCGGACATGCTGTCAGAGGAAGGCATGTTCAGCCTCACTCCGCTCGAAAGAAAAATTGAAGCGGATTTCTCAGAGCCCATTGACTTTGCTTTGTACCCAGCAGCCTGAGAAAGTGATGGTACTACACGGATGAGCCCCAGAAAACCAGTGCCCTGGTTCTGAAAGAACATAGGTTAAAAATAAGCCATTTATAGAGCTTCAATTTCCTCATCGGCATACCTAAATCAAGCCCTGATTTTGAAACCGTGCATGTATGCACGTGTGGGTAGTTCCAGAAAATGTAGTACACACCTACAAGCCTTTGCCAGGCCTTACTACCTATTTTAGAAAGCGGAAAATTTCTCAAATGGCTCTGATTTCCTTCACTTTTCCTTTGCGTGCTTCACTGAATGTGAGGTGGTGATGGCCTCTCATCCGTCTGGGTCCCAAGCAATAGCATGGGCTTTGGAGTTTGCACACCCAGCACGGGAAGAGATCTGCTGACTCTTTGCACAGAGAAATGCTCAGCCTATGTTCATATTCTTGTTTGAATCTCAAGGCCTGTATACAGCTGGACTGCAACAGGTTGACCTGTCCTCTTCATTCTCTGTGCCCTCCTTAGGCACTGGCAAAGTTGGTAACTGGGACAAATTCTTCTAGATCAGGCTTTTTTTAAATCTGAGCTTGATAACAAAAGATCTCTATGGGAAGAGGAGAGGGAGAGGGAGAGGGAGAGGGAGAGGGAGAGGGAGAGGGAGAGGGAGAGGGAGAGGGAGAGGGAGAGGAGAGGAGAGCGAAATACTGAAACAGCATAGTGTGTTATGCTGCTGTGGTCCATACTTGCTCAGCTGCAAAGAAGTGTGTTGTTTGTTGAGAGTCAATGATCCCAGTTTGGCAGGGTGAGGCTAAGCGGTAATAATAAGTACTTAGTAGTTATTGCCATGATGCTTTCATTAAACTGATTCGAAAAGCATCATTATTTTATTAAGCACCCTAATGTTTGTTCTTTTACTCAATGAAGATTTCCCCAACCACGTGCCATTAGTTCGAAGATGTGGAGCTGGTGTCTGCAGCTGCCAGAGGGAAAAAGCATGGAGCTCCTGATGGTACCTATGGCTGTAGGCATCTCACACACCACCTCCATCACACACTTTGCAAAGCGGCTTTCCTGCTCCATTCCTGTGGAGCCTCACACAGCCCATTTGGAAGACCAGACTGAGCCCCTGATGAGTTTTGGCACTGCCAAGGTTTCATTGGGTTTCCCTGTGTGCTTTCCAGGTACCCCCTGGCCTGGTCCATGTGTGCCTGGCTGCTCGGAGCGGTGGGTGCAGTTGAGCTGACTGAAATGTTTGGAGAGATCCGCTCTCCAAACTTCCCCGATTCCTATCCCAGCGACTCAGAAGTGACGTGGAACATCACCGTGCCTGAGGGATTTAAAATCAAGCTGTACTTCATGCATTTTGACTTGGAGTCATCCTACCTCTGTGAATACGACTACGTGAAGGTGAGCTGCGGTGTTGGTGGATGCATGGAGGAACAGATAGGCGATGCTTATGGCCAGCTGGGAGAAGGTGGTGCTTGGAAAGGTGGGAACAAGGTGTTTTTCCCCGTGTGTTAGGCAGAGGAATTGAGCAGGATAAATTGACAACATGAGGCAACCAGTGGGTGGGACACCAGAGTCAGGGCTCAGCCACACAGAGCTCAGCCACGCTTGGGCACCCTTGACTATGCCGTGGCTGTGGGTGCTTCTTACAGGCAACCCGGATCTCAGTCACAGCTTGCAGGCTCTTAGAACACCCAACGGAATCAAAAATAAAGATTAGATCTGAACGTAAGGCTGCAGGTGAGGGTCTGTAGAGCATCCTTCCTACAAGCAGTGGATACCTCTCCTAACCAGGCTCTGCACCTCCAAGACAAAGGTGGGTTCTCAGTGTCTTTGAGTTTGGCCAGGTGTGGTGCTTTCTGGCAGGCCAGCTGCAGCAAGCAGGTGCTTCCTGCATTTTAGGGCTGAACATCCCTTAACCGTTGCCCAGCACACACCTCACTCTGCTCCTCTGCACAGAGGCAGGTGGAGGTTGCACTGGGTCTGGAAGCACTCAGTGCTAGGTGCCAGCTTCTTGAAATTATTATTTTATTCTTGCCTTAAGACAAAGCAAACATTTGCATTTTTTTTTCCTCTTGGATGTGTTTGCTGCTTTAATTTCCCCTTTGTGCTGGCACTCATTCTGCTACTAACAGCTCTCATTGAGGTTTGATTAGTTCTTTCTGCTTCTCCTGGATCTTCTCCAAGCGCAAGGGCTAGGGACATATATAGAGATATATTGCTCTAAAAATCCAATAAGCTCAAGGAGCGGATTTCTTGGAAACTTTCCCCATTCTAAGCTTTACTCCTCCTCCCACCTTTCACCCCCTGCTCATTTTTCCTTTTTCAAAAGGCTCCCTGTTATTTGGTCATGGTGCCAACTTGGCATCACAGCTTTCCCTGCCGCTGGATTTCCATAAGAAGGCGGCATTTTTCGCGGGGATTTAGATCTCAGCTGTATAAATTTGCTCTGGGCTGTAGCTCAGCTCACGGAGAATTACAGATGAAAAGTGCTGAAAGCACTCAGAAACGTCCATCTGGATGGATTACAGGTGATCCGTAAGCTGCTCCGCTGCGGAGAGGTGCAATTTTTACGCTGCTAAAGCAGCAGTGTAGAAGACAAAAGGAGAGCAGCAAACAACTCCAAGGCCCTTTTTCTCCTTGGGGCTGCACGTCCTGTCTCTGCATCAGTGCGAGATGCAAAAACAGCACCAGCCCTCCCTTTGTCAGAGGCCAGCATTGTGTGCCTGTTGAATACAATTACAGACCCAACACGAATTGATCCGACTCTGAAATACTTCACCAGCCCCAGCAAAGAGGCTCATAGAACCACAGAATCGTTAAGATTGGAAAAGACCTCTAAGATCACCAAGTCCAACTCCAACACATCCCCACCATTGCCCATAAGCACATCCCTCAGTGCCATGTCTCCACAGTTCCTGAACACCTCTGGGTACGGTGACCCCACCACCTCCCTGGGCAGCGTGTGCCAGTGCATAACTTCAGTGTGCTGTGCATCAGGATCTCTGTCATCTTTCCCACCATAAGACAGCAGTCAAACACGGGCTGAGCTGCCCCAGCACAAGCCGGGGACCCAGTCTGTGTGCCATGCAGTGATCGTTGCCCCTGTCAGCTCCCCCACTGCCCAGCTCTCAGCAGTGCAGAAAGCCATCTTGGGATGCGCCAAGCTGCAGGCATGCACAGATCCGTGCCTCCAGGGTGGTCTTAGAAGGGAACAGTTTCCAGAGCTCTGAAACAATGGCTAATTAAAACAATAGCTGTTGATTTATATATATACACACATACATGTGCATGTGGGTATGTATATATATGTGAAAAGAACGTGGCTGCTAGAGAAATGCTCACAAGGCTTATTTGTGCAAGCAGGGATGGCAAAGGGTGGCAGGTCAGTAAGGAGATGAGTGAGTAGCAGCAGTCCCTCTGCTGCCTGCACGCTGCTCCTGCACACACCCGAGCACTTCTGCACACCCCATCCTGGGCACCACAGCACAGCATCAGTTCTGCACAAAACCTGGGTGTTGCCTCCTTTCATGGGCTCTGGCTGCAAGGCGGCTCTGCAGGGGCCCTTCCATGCCCTTCCCTGCCTCCGAGCACCTCCTCCCTATGTCATGTTCCCAGTGTCTTCAGCCCGGCACTGCAATTCCTCGGCCTAATGAGCCATGGATATATATTACCAGCAGAACGCTTTGCCCTCATTGCTCCAATTAGCACATTCCTGGAGGGCCGGGGGCTGGCGGCCGTGTTTCCGTATTGCCGGCTCCGTGCTCTTTCCAATGGCAGACACTGAACCACATTCCCTGCAGTGCTGGGAATGCTTTGTTCACCCACCCACTGCAGGAGGAGCTCTGGGCCATCATTGCTCTTCTTTGGCTGGTGCCTGCTGCCCCAGTCTGTACTGTGTGGGGTGCAGCCAGGGTTACTGTGCGTTGGGTCAGTGTCCACTGCCAGCTCCATCCGCAGCCCATGGGGACAGAGCCACAGACGGGGTGGGGACTCCTCCATTCGTGGGGACAGGCACCATATCAAGGGGAGCAGAGACAGCAAAGCCGGTGGGAGGCAGTGCTGCGGGGAAGTTTAAGTGTCACCGTATTTTATTTTTCAAAGCAGGCTTCTTTCAGCATAGTTTTATAGGGAATTTCTCCTCGGCAATTGATATTTCCCTCGGGGACACATCTTCTCTAGTGAAAACGTCGACATCGTGACCCGAGAGGGAGAAACTCCAAACAAACAACCGGGATTTAATTACCAGGCTGCTCGCGGGATGTAAATGATCTACGAAAAAGTATACAGTCCTCAGCAGAAGCAGCAACTATTAACCAGGGGGGATGACCTCTCTGTTTAGTTTACCGCCACAGGGCCGCCCCTGCTGGCTGTGTCCCGGGGCATGGGACCCGTCACTGATAAGGAGATGCAGATACCTCCAGCGAGGCCCCACACTGGGAGAGTCCACGGGTGGAGACATGGACATAGGGGACATTTCCCCACATGTCCCCACGGAGGTGAGGAGGAGCTGGTTGGAAGCAGCCGCCACTGGCAGCTCTCCTCCAGGAGAAGCAGCTCTGCAGTAAGACGCTGCAGCGGGCTTTGGGGACAGGACCACTTTGTGCAGCATCCACAGAGCAGAGTTTGCTTGCTATTGCAGACAGCGCTCCCATTTTTCAGTCCACAGTGATGTTTCGTTTCAAAACACCCTTTTTTTGGGATTCTAAAGCACCACAGTATATTTCAAAGCGATTGAAACCAGATGGACCCCAAATTACTTGTTTTCCTTTTTTTTTTTTTTTTAAACAGTTTCATACACACACACACACAAAACATTCAATTGGGTTTTTGTCCCAATGCGGACACATGCTTTTTCTCCAAATTCTCAAAATTTATCATCGGAAAGTCTCTCTCTTTTCTGGCCAGCTCTGGCTCACATGAGAGGATGGAAAATATCTGGAGGCAATGTCAAGGCATTGCTGAGCTGCCATTTCCATGTTGTCTTTCCCTGGTGTGAGCGTGTTTCCTCCCTGGGAAATTTCCCTTTTTGCCTCATACTGGGTCATCCTGAGGGTCTGGGATGGCCGCAGGTGAATCCTACCTTTCCAGGGCCACACGACAGGGGGTGACATCACAGTGTGCTCATGGGTCCCCAGGCTGCACGCTTCATTACAACCTCAATATCGTATGCTTGGCACAAGCACAGTGGGCTGGCATGGTGCGAAGAGGCTTGCATTCCTCTGCAGAAGGGTTATTCATACTCAGGTCCCATGGGGCGCTGGGAACAGGGACAGGGAGCAGGTGTGAGTCTGTGGGAGGAGGAGATGGAGTCGGGGAAATGGTTAGGGAAGAGGAAAGGATGTGGTTCTAGGGAGTATAGAAGGGTTTTCCACTAAGATTGCCATGCTACAAGGTGTGTGTACGACTGTAAAGGGATTCAGAGAGTGAGCACGTTGTGATGGTGACAGGCACACTGGCCCCTTGGTCCTCTCCTGCAGCCACCTGGACCACAGTGCATGCACCCTGGGTGGTGGGGACTTCCCTGAACAGGGGGCTGGGGTCTGCTTGGGGGTCCCAGCACCTCCCAGCTCTCACACAGGTGCTACCATAAAGGTTGGTTCTTGGGAAGGGGAAGAAGGTGATTTTCACACCCTCCTTTTCTTGGTCCCTGCCTGCATCCTCATCCTCTCCTAGACACCCTCCTCCCTCATCCTCTGCATCCACGTTGCTGCATCTGCTTCAGAGGGAGGAACAAGTGGGAGACTCCACTTCTTTCTCAGAAACCCTTTAATTGCTTTACTGCAGTCACTGCTGAGAGCCAGAGCGAGTGCAGCCTGACCTCACACACTGCAGGCTCTAAAGTCTTGAAGATACTCACAGAGAATGGGGAGAGGTAACCAGCACTGGGGACATGTCATTCCCCGTGCCTTTCATGTGAGCCACGCTAACCCAGCCCTTCTGCCTCAGATTGAAGCAGAGGACCAGGAGCTGGCAACCTTCTGTGGCAGGGAGACAACAGACACCGAGCAGGCTCCTGGGCAGCAAGTCATCCTGTCCCCAGGGCCCTATATGGGGCTCACCTTCAGGTCCGACTTCTCCAACGAGGAGCGCTTCACTGGATTCGACGCGCATTACACAGCCGTGGGTAAGGGATGTTTAAACTTCAGGATGTGGTTGGTATGTGGGGGCTGCAGGGTGACCTCCTTTCTTTGCTGTCTCCCCACAACCCCAACCCAGATGTGGATGAGTGCCTGGAGAAAAGTGACGAGGAGTTGGCGTGTGACCACTACTGCCACAACTACATCGGCGGGTACTACTGCTCCTGTCGCTTCGGATACATCCTGCACTCCGACAACAGGACCTGCAAAGGTACTGCCCACCACAGCATGGCTGTAGGGACCAGGGGAGGTTCGGCTTGGATACTAGGAAAAATCTCTTCTTAGAAATAGTGGTGATGCACTGGCACAGGCTGCCCAGTGGGGTGGTGGAGTCACCATCCCTGGAGGTATTTGAGAACTGTGGAGATGTGGCACTGAGGGACGTGGCATGGTGGGGATGGGTTGGGGTTGGACTAGGTGACCTTAGTGGTATTTTCTAACCTTAATGATTGTATGATTCTACTATTCTGTGACCTGTATTGAAGACCACAATCCGTGCTCCACGCTGCTAATGGGCTGAGCAGGCAGGGAGACGGATGCAAGCAGTATTGGGTAGAATGACAGGCATCTGAAGGGTTGGGTGCCCATCATCCATCCTCAGTGTGGCCAGGGCTGGGGTGGCTGATGGTTTGCTGACAGAGCTGTGGCTGTGTTGCAGTGGAGTGCAGTGACAACCTGTACACCCAGAGGAGTGGAGTGGTCACCAGTGCTGACTTCCCCAGTCCCTACCCCAAGAGCTCAGACTGCCTGTACCGCATTGAGCTAGAGGATGGCTTCTTCATCACCCTCAGCTTTGAGGATAGCTTTGATGTGGAAGATCACCCAGAGGTGACCTGTCCCTATGACTACATCAAGGTGAGCTGGGCTCTGCACCCTCCCCCTGCCCTCCTGTCATACCTTGGGTCAGTGATAGTACAAATATTGTCCCTGTCTAAATGGGACCAGTGAAGCCAGTAAGAATCTCATGTTCAGTGGAACCCATTGGAGATGGGATCAAAATCTGACGGTCTGATGGGTCCCCTCATGATGAAAGCCCTTCATGCCACCCTCCCTTCTTTCTTTTGGCAGATCAAAGCTGGCCAGAGGGAGTTTGGCCCTTTCTGTGGAGAAAAGTCCCCAGGACGCATTGAAACCCAAACCAACAGTGTGCAGATCCTCTTCCACAGTGACAACTCAGGAGAGAACAGGGGCTGGAAGTTGTCGTATACAGCAATTGGTAACTCCTGCTGCTTTCCTCTGTTTGATGGGGTTGGGTAATGGGCACCTTGCAGGTGGAAACCATGAGTTTGTGGCCCATTATCCTCTTCCTGGAAAGGGAAATCACAAGAGAGAAATGAAATAACAAGGGACCCTCTCTTCAAAGAGTACTTCTTTTCCTACCCAGATGGTCCCTGAAAACGAGACCACATTGCAAAGCAGGGCAGGATGGTCAGACACAGCCAAGGGGGCTGGATGGTGGGGCTGGGACTCTCCATTTATTCCTCTTACTTAGCTGACTCCTTCTGCTCTTTATTCAAAGGAAACCCGTGTCCACTGGTGCAACCCCCAATCAATGGGAAAATCGAGCCTTCCCAAGCCAAGTACACCTTCAAAGACCAGGTCGTCATCAGCTGCAACACTGGCTACAAAGTGCTGAAGGTATGGGGAGGTGGTGTGGAGCTGGGTGGGAAAGGAGCCTGGCCTCCTTTAGCCATTTTTAGCTAGAAAAGCCCTCTTCCAGGAGGGTCTGGATATATCTTGACTAAATCACAAAGAATTTGGCTTTTTATAGAGAGAAGCATTTCCTTGTCTCATACATTATGTTATTTCGTGGGCATTTTTTTTTCCCCTGTCTTCTTCTGCACAGGATAACCTGGAAAGTGACTCCTTCCAGATCGAGTGTCTGAAGGATGGGACATGGAGCAACAAGATCCCCATCTGCAAAAGTAAGGAGACCCTCCCACACCCCATCCACATGCTTTTCCTGCTGAAACTTCATGCTGAATGGAGCTGCCCTGCCACAGCAGAGCTCCTCACTCAGTTCCAGCCAGAGAGGCTACGTAACTGCAAAGCTCTTTTGGCTAACACAATGGGGCTTGGTCCAAATGCCACAAGCAGGAGGTTTGTGCTTTCCCTTAGATTACTCATAAGTTGATTTGTGACCAGCTTCACTGTTTCCCTGTCAAGGAAAGAGCAAGCCTGGCTCTTGGGAGCTGAGCGAGCAGAGCACTGAGATGGTTCTGCTGCAGTTTGCTGGATGGCAAATTTGGGGCTGAACCCTGTGAGGAGGGCTGGGTGAGATGGGATGGCTACTTCCTTCCAGCAAACACCTGCAAGCTCCCTCAACACTTGTTTAACTGCAAAATTTGGACATAGATCACATCAGACTTGCTTTGGATGCCTCTTCATGAACGGTTGCTGCCAGAGGAAGGGATGGAGGGAGGGGGTGGATCCCTGTGTGAGATGGGATTGATCAGGCTGAGACAGTCTGAGATAATCTGGGTCCTGGACCAAATTTAGTTCCAAATGGGGACTTCAAAGACCTTGGGCATTAGGGCATGAAAGGATAGGTGACAATTTGCATCTTCTCTTCTTCTACCTAACCCAGCTCTTCTCTCAGCTCAGGGCAAGGAGCTGTGCTGCTCATGCACCTGATAACATCTCTTTCCTTTCCCCAACACACTGGTGCCCCTCAGCCCCCCCGTGAGGCACTTCATCTGCCGCAGGGCTGACCCACAGGGGAGAAAAGTAACAAACACACCCAGGGAAGGTCCCAACACCTTCCAGAACTCTCAAGGAATGTGGGATCCAAATCCTCTGCTTCTACACAGATCCCTTTTTATTTGAATGATATTTTGGTTCCTACTTTAGGAGTACATTTCTGGAGTTTTTAATGGAAAATAGGAGGCTGTCAGACCTGCTGAATAGATTCATATCTGAAAGAGCTTCTTACAGAGCGTGGGGTCAGTGATGTCTCTGCCCACCAGGCACACTCTCACCACCAGTTTCCCGTTGATTTTATCCAGTTTGGACAGAGATCAGATAAAAACTGGCGTTGTCTAGAAAAAGAAAGAATGTGGGAAAAAAGAAGAAAAAAAAAAAAAAGTAGATACTTTAACAAGAAAGACATTAATTGTGGAGAAAATTGAAATGATTACCTGCATTGTTAGGCTGGAACTGGTCCCTTCCTGTGTGAGATAAATCACTGTGCTAAATCTCTGCAGCTATCCTGGAAAGCCAAGAAGCCCCTAAATGGACAATCCAGACTTCAGACTGCTGTGCCTCCCACCTCCCCCGAATGTCTGGGAGAGGCACAAAATAATTTAGAAAGCAATGCAGAAAATAGTAACCTTTCCAGCCAAGGTGGATCACATCCAGCTCCACAGCCCTGCCCAGCTCTGTGACAGCTTCTCCCAGCCGCTGCCCTCAGGGGCCAAGTGGGTCCCCGTCAGATCCTCATTAGGGTCCCCATTGGGATGCTCACTGGGGTCTCCATTGGGTTCTCCGTTGGGATGCCCATTGGGGGCATTTCTGGTGGATCTCTTTATGGATTTCTGGTGTTTTGGGGTCTGTGTTTCCTGCATGCCTCTGTCTGCTCAGCTACTAATGAAGCTTTTTCTCTTTGCTCTCCTCCTTCCCCTCTGCTTTCGGTGCAGCTGCAGACAGAGCCGACAACCAGACAGACAGAAGAGCCGGCTCAGAGCAAGTGGCTGTGTGAGGCTGGTGCTGGCCATGCCACCAGGACGGGCAGCCTGCCTCTGCGCCCGCTCTGCTCCGTGCAGCCAGCTCCACCTCCGTGGCTTGTCTAACCAGCATGGCACTCCTAACCCCCTCTGTACACTACACTTCCTTAACTTCATCTCCAGAAGGAAAAATTTGGAGACAAGTCCCCTATTGACCACCCTTTGGGAAGGTCCCTGAGCAGCCCCAGGCTCCCAGCTCATCCTCCAGTCCCTCGGATGCCTCAGCCCTGCTTTGCTCCCCTCCACGCTGGTGGTTGTGTGAGGAGCGTTGGCCCAGCACATGGTTGGTTTGTTTGGATTTAACCTCCCACTTCCCTTCCTCCCAGGCCAAGTGTCACAAATAAGAAACACTCCTTCCTCTCCTCTCTCCGAGCATCCTTTCAGCTCTCCCTCAGGCAAGAGACGATGGGTTGGCACCAGCAGCCCTGAGAGGCTGCATGCGGGCACCGAGCCCTGGCACTGGTGTCGGGGATGCTCCTGCTGTCTAGTCCCATCCATGTCCCCAAGAGCACCCAGGGCTTTCAGAGGTATTGGGGGTGCTGGGAGGAGGACTCAAGGATGGGAGATGGGGAGTGCATTCAGTGCCCCTTCTCCTAAGGTGAAAATGTGGGAATCCTCAAGATATGAACTCCTTCCCCTCTCTCTTTGTGTAGGATGCAGGACACTGCTGGGCAGCACCGCTGTGCAAGAGCCCATCCAAACTGCATCGGAACTGCCCCAGACACATGGGACGTGCAGGGAGGGAAGAGGTTTTGTGGGACAGGGGGCACAGACCTGCAGCCACAGATAACCCCAGAGCAAACATGCCAGCCAGACGTGTCCTCCAACACCTATTTACCCCTTGCTGCAAGCCCCAGCATTCCCCAGCACCTTACAAAGGCCCAATGGTGCTGGCACCACAGCACAAAGCTGTGCTCCTGGGCACAGAGGGAAGCAGTGGGGATGGTGGACACCCTGCCGAACAGTGAACCACAGCACTGTGCCGTGAACCAGGCAATTCTCACCCAGGCAGGTGACTCATCTTGAGCATCAGTGTGTGTCCCCATGAGCCTGGATCACGCCAGGAGGAGCCAGGCCTGGTAGCACACGACTACACACAGCTCACATGCCCCTGACCCACTGGATCTGCTTCCTACAAAATCACCCATCCCCTGCTCAGCTTCTCAGCTTAACAGTGGTCCACAGACCTCCACATTCCAGGCAGGATGAGACCTGGGCGAGTGGCAGGGGGGGAACAGGCTTGCAAGGCATGATGAGGCTGGGCTTTCCCTATGTCTGCTGACCCAGCCAAGCCGTGCTCCCCATGTCCTCCATCTGTCACTGCAGAAGAGCCAGGACCCAAGGATGCTCAGCTGGAGCCATCAGTGCCCATCAGCACTGCTTGCTCAGCAGGAGGGACAGGGATGTGCTACCAACAAAGCCTTGTGCTCAGAGGAGGTTCTTGGTGAACTGCCTGCTTCTTCCTATCCATTCATAAGGGATGTGGAGATAAACTCCTAGAGCATCCCCCAGCAGCTTTCAGCTGCCTGTGCATGTTTCTTCTCCTCTGAAGGCACTCAGAACATCCCAGGAGGGATGAGAGCCAAGCCAGGAAGCCACCTGAGCTGTGCTCCTCACATCGCCCTAGAGAAAAGGGTAGGGGGCAATGTGGAGCCCCTCTCTACCCTATAAAATCACCACCCATGCTAAAGCCCATGAATGGATGCAGGGCTCAACCCTGATTCTGTGTTGGCTTTCAGTTGCTGACTGCCAAGAGCCGCCAGAGCTGGAGCACGGCTTTGTCACCTTCCTCTCCAGGAACAACCTCACCACGTACCGTGCAGCCATCCAGTACCACTGCCAGCACCCCTACTACCACATGGCCCCCAACAGCACCGGTGAGCTGGGGGAGTGGAATGGGTGGGAACAGGGTTAAGAAGAACAGTGAGATTATGGCAGAATGAGTTGGCAGCTTATCCCCTTGGTCCATAAACAGAGACCTCATAAGATGCTTTGCACAGAGCACCACAGTTCTCTGCACCCTTCAGATCCAGCCCTGGGCAGTATGGTTGCACATACATCTCAGCCCTCTTTCCTTCTCCTCCTCCCTCAGCATGGAAAGTCAAAGGAGTTCCACACATTCCTGCCTCCCTGCTCATAGCCCCATGCATCTGGTCCCTGTATCCGGCACGCATTAATGTAATGGGCACCAGCAGAGCTAACGGGGCAGCAGCTCCCAGACAAAGCACAGCTCTATAGACCCAGGGCAGTGACACAGGGGTGGTGGTATGGGGACAGGGCTGTCAGTGAGGAAAGGAACACAGAAGGCTTGAAAGAGAAATGGGTTCAGAAGATCTGGATGGCAGGGCTGCATCTCACTGCAGAAAGCCCTCCATGCTGGAGCACAGCCCAGCTAAGACCTGTTCTCTTCCAGCCACATACACGTGTGATGCATCGGGGGTTTGGAGGAGCGAGGAGCTGGGCACCGCACTGCCATCCTGCCGACCAGGTACTAGGGGATGGGGGGTCCATGGTGAGGGGTGCAGAGATGTGTGTGGGGGGGCTGCCTGCCTGACTTCAGCCCCTGGTCATGGGCAGAGACCCAGCTTCATGGTGGCAAATGTCATGGGCTGTTCATATCTGACCATTGCAACTTATGGCAAGAAGGGTGATAGTGTCAGGGGTCAGGGAAGCAGCACCCTCAGCAACTTGGGGTGCATTTAGCCCCCAGGATCACCAGAGACAGCTCCAGCCAAGGACAGACCATAACCTGCCTGGTGCCACTGGCTCCCATAAGCAGTGTGTTCCCATGCAGGAGCAATTAGCACATCTCTTGTAGAAAAACCCAGCCGCTTCGCAGAGCCCAAAGCCCCGAGCCTTTGAGCAGTGGCAGAAATGTTTGCAGCCAGCAAGTTTCCAGGCCAGGCGCCCGCTCAGGATTAAACAAAAGTCCCTGGGACAAGGGCTGGCCGCAGCTGGCTGCAGGCGGGGCTGGCAGCTGCTCTGGGTGCGGGCTGCGGTCGGATGCGCAGGGATGGCTCTGCGGTGCAGGGCAGGACGTGGCGGTGGGGCTCAGCCCCATGGCAGGTCTCATAGAGTGTCCGTTCTCCAGAGAGTGGAGATGTGGCTGCTCTTGTTTCAGTGGCTGCTGTCTGCATCCCTCCTTGATGTTTCAGCCTGAAATGATTTGTGCTGGGAGCATATGGGGACAGCTTTTGGGGATGTAGCTGCTTTTGTGGGCCATTTCCAGACCTCTTGATTAGTGACAGAAGTCAGAGAGGCTTCAGGAAAATGGAAAATCCCAGAGAGACAGTGACGCTCTCCTGAGATGGGGAAGTGCAGGCAGCAGCTGGCCAGCTGCTCCTCAGATCTTCCCTCATGTCTCACGCTACCTCCCCATCAATAGAAGCTCCTCGTCCAGGCCGCAGCACGCCTGCCTCTGCCATTAGTGGGAGCATTTGCAGCCCGGTCAGCGTTTTTGATATGTAATTTAATAGAATAAATATTTGGCTGGATGCGCTTCCTCTAAAATCATCTCCCCAGGATGGCTGTCAGCTTGGGTGCAGCAGAACAGCTGGGCTGGGCGGGGAGGCAGGAGCACGTTTTCCATTCCCTGCAGCACTGGGAGAGTGAGGCACAGGCAGACACTCCCCATCCTCCCTCCAGTCGCAGTTTTCCTAGCGGCAGCCATAGCAAATCCACAGTAGCAGCTCCTGGTGATCCTGCCCCAGCTCTTGGCCCTGAGCCCATCACCCTGAGGTCTGACCCTCTTTCTGTGAGGCTCAGCATCCTTCTCTCCCAACAGAGGAGCATGAGGCAGAGTCGTGGCTGGAATATCGTCCAGGTCTTCTTACCCCCTATCAGCAAAACTGTACAGCTCTTTGAGTTACAGCTCAGTTTCTCTGCAACCTACACCTGGCAAAAATCATAGCATCCACCAGGTCTTTGACACAGCAGAAGGATTCTGCCTCTTCCCCCTCCAAAAGGAGTCTGGTAGCACTGTGGTCTGCATTTGGAGCACAAATCACACAAGTGTAAACCAAGTCTAAGACCTGATCCTACTGAGAGCGCTTGAAGCCCCATCCTGGTTCATGTGTTTTGATGGATCCATGCCTAACTTCAGTACCAGAAGTTCTGGTTCAGCTTTGGGATAGCTAACTGGGTGAAGGCATCACGTCCCATGGTGTGCTATAGACAGTTCTGATGGTCTGTGTTCATTTTCAGCACACAGGCCACGCTTTCCCCCAGGTTAACCTGCTATTTGCAGGTTAAGTCCTCCAGCCCCTATGCTCCAGCACATGCCACCCCTTGGCACAAGCCTGCATTTTTCATCATGGGCTATGTGTGCTGCAGTCCTGTCCCAAAAGGCACCAAGAACTTGAGCCTTCCTGCGCTCAGTGGAGACTCTCTGGGACAGCAATGCACCAGGACTAGTAGACAGAATTGTGCCTAGTCAGTCCATGGCCTCGTGGCTATGAGCTTTCACTTTGTGTTTTCATGCCTACAGCAAGGTTAAAAAAGGAGATGGAAGTTGGGAGGCCACTTTTTTAAAGCAAACTTGTTGGGATGAATTGGGCCTCAACTGCCCATGGCTGAACATAGGATGGACACCTGCAGAGCCTCATCCTGAGAGCTCCCCACTACAGAAAGAAAAGTCACAAGAAAGCATTTGGTTATGAGAATGACCATCCATGTGGCATAATCTACAGGGAAATCCCTAGGTTGTTTTTTCTAGATAAGTGTTTGGAGTAACAATGTTGTCCATTCTGTCCCCAGTGTGTGGCCGGCCAGCCCGTGCTCTGCCCGGGATCATCAAGCGCATCATCGGGGGGCGAAATGCAGAGCCTGGCTTCTTTCCCTGGCAGGCCCTGATAGTGGTGGAGGACATGTCCCGAGTGCCCAACGACAAGTGGTTTGGCAGCGGGGCCCTGCTCTCAGACTCCTGGGTGCTGACAGCCGCTCACGTGCTCCGCTCCCAGAGGCGGGACAAGACTGTCATTCCCGTCTCCAAGGAGCACGTCACTGTGTACCTGGCCCTTCATGATGTGAGAAACAAGTTGGAGGCTGTCAACAGGACAGTAGAGAAGATCATCCTCCACGAGGATTTTGACATCCAGAACTACAATCATGACATTGCTCTGGTCAAGCTGAAGGAAAAGGTGACCATGGGGAATTACGTCATGCCCATCTGCCTGCCCCAGTTTGAGCATGAGCTAGAAGGACCTCACCCCAATACACTGGGGCTGGTGGCCGGCTGGGGAATCTCCAATCCCAACATCACTGTGGATGAGATCATCAGCTCAGGCATGAGGACACTATCCGACATCCTGCAATACGTCAAGCTCCCAGTGGTGCTGCATGCAGAGTGCAAGACCAGCTACGAGTCCCGCTCGGGGAACTACAGCGTGACCGAGAACATGTTCTGTGCTGGCTACTATGAAGGTGGGAAGGACACTTGTTTGGGAGACAGCGGAGGAGCCTTTGTCATTCAGGACCCAGGAACCCGGAGATGGGTGGCCCAAGGGCTGGTCTCGTGGGGTGGTCCAGAGGAGTGCGGCAGCAAACAAGTGTATGGTGTGTACACCAAAGTCTCCAACTATGTGGACTGGGTGGAGAAGAACACAGGCTCCTCAGAGAGGTGGACATTTCTGGACCCTGATCTGGAGAGATGAGTGACTGAGCACTGCCTGCTGACACAGCTTTCTTTGTTTGTTGTCCTTTAATATGCTCCAGACTCCGGTCTTTCGCAAGCAGTAGCCATGATGCTCAACCGCACTTCGGCTGGACTTTGCCAGCCAACCACATCATTCCTTTCACTTGGTCCCAAATCCCTTTGCTTTCACTCTGAGGAAATGCTTGCTAGGGAGCTGGGGAAAGGGATTAAAGGGTGAGATCTCATCTAGCATTGCTAGCTCATGTTGCCAGGCTTGGTGTTTAACCTCTACTATGCAGACTTGGGTAGTCTTGTGTGGCAAAGCATTCATTCTTGCAAAACCCAAGTCCCTTTTAGTTGTACTTCAGACCATTCTTCTGGCTGATTTACAGGTTACTGAAGGTTTCCATGTTTTGTTCATGGCTCTTCTGGCCTATTGCAGGTGTCCAAGACTCACCCCAATCCATCCAACACTCCATAAAGTTTCACATCTCCCCTACCATGACACACACAGACAATAATCCCCACCAAGGAACAAATTCAGGTGAGCTTAGCTTCCTTAGGCAGAGACATCACCTCCTTCGCTTGCCAGCAAAGCCCTCCTATAGCTGGAAGCAACATGCAGCAATTGCCTGCTGTCCCCTCTGAGTGCTTTTAGCCTCCTTTGGACTTCTCCTCCTCCTCCTTTGGTTTTGCATGCAAGGAATGAGTCAAAATTGAACCAGCCACCCTGCCATTTTGTTACCATCCAAAAAGCCACTCGTAGTGTAGGTAGAGGAGCAGAAGGCCTAAGGAAGATCTAACTTGCAGACATGCTAAGAACTGTACTCTTGGCTATGTCATATAACATAAGGTATTTTTATATATATATTTCTTTTTGATACTACATTCTGCAGAATATCTGATTACATGTAAGGATGGTTCTGTGTAATCTTCATCCTGAGAATAAAATTAAATGTTAATATTTACTGAGTTCATGCCCTGAGGCTTTTATTCCAGGCAGGAAATGGTCAAGGAGTGAAGGCAAAGGATGGTCACAAATCTGTCCCGTGCACTTCTGCTCCTTCTCCATGGCATCTGCTCTGTGTCCATGTCAGACCTTATCAACGACCTCAGCTCCACACAGTTCAACTCTACACTGCACACAATCTTCCCATGGCCAAGACAGAATACAGAAAATGAAGGAGATGAGATCCAGTGGTGGTCATTGCTGGAGAATCAACCCTGATGAATGGACTACATACTCCCAACAAGCAATGCAAGCAAGTCCTGTCTGCATTTTAGGGATAAGCTATGCAGCTCTGGGTCTCACATTGTCTAGTGTCATCCTGCCCACCCATGTATAGCAGTGCTACAAATTACCAGCTTGCTTAAGTGGATGAATCTCCAGAGCCTTCATTCAGGTACAAAAGGCAGTCATGCAGTCACTGGGAAACACACAGATTGCAGGCAGTTGGAAATGGTCTCCAGTGACTGCCAAGTGCAGAGAAGCCCACTGATGCCAAGAATGGTGTAACTCCACTGAGTCTTCTGGCTTTCAATAAAAACTCTCTTCAAAAGTGCTGGGAAAAACATATTTATCCCTGAAACCAAATAATTAAACTGAAGAGCATGCGAGATATCTTTTTGTTCCTAAGCATAATGGGTGAAGTGCAAACAAAAGCCCCCAGTCTTGCATTTGCTGGGCTGGGGTCCAGCTGTTCATCCACCACCCATCCCTGCTGTCTGCAGCAGTGGCTGATTTGGGCTCTTGGTCTCTGTTTACACTATCAGTTTATCATAAGCCTGTCGAAGATCAGAGATAACAAACAGAGACCAGAAAATTGCTGTGGTCCCACCAGCACTGTGGGTCTGGAGGTGCTTCACTTGCATAGGGTAGAAGGCCAGAGGGTTCTGCCCCGTATTTTCAGCCACAGCCCCTGCAGCTTTGTGGGCTGAGACAGACCTGAACATGCCAGGAATGCAAACTGCAGGAAACAGCAATAGGTGAGATCCCACCCTTCAATTATTTATAGCCCTAGCACATCATTAAAAATGGGGCTGATGGCAGGAGGGAAGTGCAGCAACCTGGAGTCTGAGAACTCAGTCTGAGTTCAAGTGGCATGCAGAAAAAATAAACAGGTAGATAAGAAAGCAAAGGCAAAAGCAAAAGCAAAGTATGGTCCCTTGGGCATCACACCATCAGCTGTAGGACCTGTGCCTAGATGGCTCCCAGGCAAGTTGCAAAACGCCACTGCCTACAAGAGATCCATCACAAATAAATGCCATCCTCCTCCTTCCCACAGCTCCACAGTCCCCATCCAGCCTGCCCACGTCCCCTGCTCAGCACCCTGTGTGCTGCCAAGTGCCAGCTTCTTGCCCATGGCATGGGAGCGGGCAGCGGATGGGAACAACAGAAGCAACGGCTGGTTTTGCATTCATTGGCACCTCTCAACCTGCCAGAGTTGTAAGAAGCTCTCTCCAGGGAGACAGGCACAGAGGCAGCAATTTATCAGTCTGACTGTGGTGAAAGGCCAGCAAAACGTCTCCACATGAGGTTTGCTTGTCTCTGGCCAAGTGTAAGCACCAGCCATCAGCTGAGAGTCAGCTGCAGCAGAACCCAGCTCCAGACGGACCAGTGCGGCACATGGCAGGACTGCAGAAACATGGGACCCCCAGCATCCCACTGGGAGAGACAGCATTCTTCACCCCCCAGCTATCCTCCCCGGGATGAGCTCACTGTCTGTGTGCCACTGAGGGGCTGAGCTAGAGGGCAGTGTGCTAAAAAACAAATGGGAGGTGGGCACAGCTGCACATCAGAGGGAGGTATCCTGGAAGGAGCCCAGGAATGAGGCTGTGGCTGAGAAACGTGGGTGTCGCTGAGTGATGGGGAGAGGATGAAGCAGCTGCACGATGGAGAGGGCAGAGATACCCCAGGCATGCACCCACAGCATGAAGAGACAGCAGGCAAGCAGACAGCACCAGGGAGGGGATGGGGTAGAAAAGCTGATTATGCATAAGAGGCCATGGTTGGGAGAGCCTCTGTGTGTGTGTGTGTGTGTGTGTGTGTGTGTGTGTGTGCGTGTGTGCACAGAGGGTATTGGAAGGATGGCTCTGCCCTTGAAAATGAGCAGAAAGACCCAAGCAACAAAACAAGGGCCCCTGCAGGGATGTGGGCTCCATCAGAGCTGGCTTCACAGGAGGAAGTGAGGAAGTTCCCCCTGCAGCTGGGTGGTGGGGTATGCTGCAGACAGCCAGACATGATGACTGGAGCTGGGAAAACCTCAGCATGGAAAGAAGAGGGCCACGGGCAATGGCAGTGAGAAACTTGGCAGTGTCTCTGCCTTCATGACATAATGCCACGGGGGAGAGGGCAGGTTGCTCCCCACACAGGACAGCCAGAGGGGGGAAGGGACTCCTTCCAGGCTGCAGGACCAGCCTCCTCCTGGAGCACAGCTCGGCCTCCCAGCAAGGAGAAACCACCTCCAGAAAGAAGGGGCCATTCAGAGACGAGATTCTCTGGGTCCCACTATTTCCCTGCCCCAAATGCTCAGTACTTCATAGATACTCCCTCCAGGGGGACAGATTTTGCTGTCTCTTCTTGCTGGGAAGTCCCTGCTGGTGGCACCCAGCCCTGTTGCCACAGCATCACTGTCCCCCATCAGCTCTGGCGGTCAGGAGAGATGTGAATCAGAGCACTTTGCATCACTTGTGCAGCTCCAAGACTTGGAAAAATCACAGCGAGAGAGCAGCTTGTTCACAGATTGACACCATGGCCATGAAGGGTATGGTCTGGAAGCATCAGACTGCAGGGAACCGGATGGGGGAGAGGCGATCCCGCATTCGGGGATGGCTGCCCTGTCCCAGTGCTGGCGGTCACCGGCCCCAGTGCTTCCCAGTGTGGCGACGGAGATGTCGCAGCTCCATCTGCTGGCGCCGGGGCTGCGGGAGGTGGAAGAGAAGGAAAGCGCTTGGAAAGAGGGGAGAGAGTGGGATGATGGGCAGGACAGAGCGCTTAGGGGGCAGGACAGAGCGCTTAGGGGGCAGAGCCCACGGTGTTCCTGCTCCGCACAGGGTTTTCTTGTTATTTTTACATATATATATATATATTTAACCAATATCCTACCGGTTATATGTATGAAAAGACAGGGGAGTCTTACAGCAGTGAAGAAAGCAATGGCACAACCCTCCCCTTTGCTCAGACCTGGGTTGATCTCCAGGTCTTTAGTGGATGACACATGGGACACCACTTTTGGCATGGTACGGGTGGATGCTAATGGCTCCCTGTGTGTTTGCTGCAAACCCCCAGCTCCAGATACCCTCAGCTGCTTTGGGTACCCCCATTCACAAAAGCCAAGCCAGGAGAGAGGGGATGTGTCCCCCACAAGGCAGATAAAGGAAGATAAAGCAACTGGCCAGCAGATAAAGGAACTCCTCACAGCCAACCATTCTGGTCATATATATTCAGAAAAGGCTTTAGAGAAGTTAAAAAGCACAGATGCATCTTGGGCTGAGGATAAAGAACTGCTTTATTCCTGCAGGTACTCTCCATCCTTTGTATGAGGAGCTGGGGGCCATCCTTGTGCAGAACATGTCCCATAAGAAACCACCAGGCCTGCTGGGCTCCCCTGGGCTGGAGACAAGGTGCCTAGGCATGATGGTGGTGCCTGTCACCTGTGAGCTGAGAATGCCTCGCCATCCCAGGGCACACATCCAGTCAATTTTGCACCCTTTCCATTACCACCATCCTCAGCCAGCATCCCGGTATTCACAAATGCCAGCTCCTACTATTTCAAGAGGGAATAAAGCAGGGCAAAGATGAGCACTCCCAAAACACAGAGAACAGATAAGCCCACGCAGCAGCAGCGTTTCCAGGGAAAGCCACCACCTACAACTTGCTCTGTGGACCTCGTGATCAAGACAGCCTTGTCCATATCTTCCCTGGGCTTCCAGACCTTGTGCACACCCACCTTGGTCTTCCAAGCCTTGTCCACATCCATCTTGGTCTTCTGAGCCTTGTCCACATCTATCTTGGTCTTCCAGACCTTGTCCACATCCATCTCGGTCTTCCAGGCCTCATCTACATCTATCTTGATCTTCCAGGCCCTGTCCACTTCCATCTTGGTCTTTTGAGCCTTGTCCACATCCATCTTTGTCTTCTGGGCTTTGCTCACACCCACCTTGTTCTTCCCAGCACCGGGCTCCATGGCTGCCCTGGACCTGCTGCAGACACCATGCTTGCAGCCCTCGCAGTGGGTCCTGTCGTGTACCCCCGATGTGTGGCACCTGTCCACCACCACTTCCAGGAGGTCGTCTGACTGCACGGGCACGTTGTAGAAGTCCTTGAGGATCTTCAGCACCAGGTTGTGCAGCAGCCGCTCTATGTTCTCCAGGCTGAATATGGGCTCCTCCAGCTGGGGGTCGTGGCACTGCCTGCAGGCTTGACGGAAGATTCGCATCAGCACTATCCCATAGCACATGTGGAAGAGGATGTGCACTTTGGCTGAGGACCACTTGTTCAGGCACTGGGAGCACTGAAACCTGCCGGGACATGGAAGACACCAGCTCATCCCAGCCTTCTGCTGTAAGCCAGGGCAGTCAGCAGGGAGCTGGACAGCTGGAGCTGATGGTTCAGCTTTATACACATAGGCTGTCCTATCAGCATGATGCCAGCCTGGGTAGCTGTACACCCATGAGCTAGGAGCAAGCTGAAATGTAGGACCGGCTTGCTGCCCTTGCCCAGCCTGACCCCACTGCCCGGGGGCAGGGAAGAACCAAGCTCCAGCTCCATGTGAGTCTTCAGCCCTTGACCCATGCACAGCTCAGCAGGAAGCCAGCGTCAAGCTGAAAAAGTCAAAAAAGAAGCAAAACAGAAGGAAGGTGTGGGTGGAGGCTGCAGGGCAGGTGAGGAGAAGCTGCAGGTTACTCCCCTTCTGACTCATCTTTCACAACGCTTATGGGAGTTAGCAGCCCCTCCACGCTCAGCACCCCTCTCTGCATCCCCCTCCTCCATCCCTGCAGGTGCTATGGGCAAACGGCTGCTGGCACAGTCTGCAGCCCTTCCCCCAAGGCCAGTGTCATCTTACTGCAGCCCAGGGTGGCAGGAGGCAGCACAGGGAAGACAGTGATGGTGGCATCCCTCAAGTAGGACCGAACCAGTAGACCTTACCTCCCAGACACATGGTTCTGCAAAAACTCCGTCCAGCCAGGCTTGAGGCTGTGCACCTGCAGGCTATTATCCTCCCGAAATGTCCATGGATCCATTAATTTCAGGCTTGCAGCCTTCTCTGCAAAAATCTTCTGCCATGTCATCATGGTCCAGTATAGAGTTGGGAAGAGGCCGTGATCAAGGTCAAGCTTCTGGCTGCTGACTCATGTGCAGCTTTCTTTCTTCCAAATCTCTCCTCCCTCCTTCCCTCATGGGTGCAAAGTCACATCTTTGTGCCCAGAGAGAGGAACCTTTGCCCCCGTTTGTGCAGCACCACCCCAATCGATTTCTGTGCTAAGAGGCACAGCTGGCACCGTGATACATCCCAGCCAGGCAAAAAGTCTCCTAAAACAAAGGCAAAACAGCTGACCCTGAGCACCACACATTTTGCATGTAATACCTGGGCATGGGAAAAACTCCTATCCCTGCTGAAGCCATCACTCCTGCTTTGTTCATAGGCAAAAAGGATGCAAATGTAAACCTGTTTGCTGACCAGGACCACAAATATTACAGCAGTGAGAGAATCAGCAGAGATTTTACCCTGCATAGGTATAATGGAACGAAAGCTCACTGAAAATGCAGGGCTCAGCAGCCGACAAAACCCCAGGTAGCTTTATCTCTCTCGATAGCTGACACCAAACATGGGCTGTTTTTAACAACTTTCAGCCAACTCAAGCAGAAAAAGCCTGACATGAAACCACAGAGTGGAAAGTTGGAGATGATGGCACCGCACTTAAAACAGAAAGTGGGGAGGTGAGCTCTGTGCTGAGGGCACTGCGGGAGGTGAAAGCAGCGGGGCCAGCAGCAGCCCCCTGCCTCCCCATCTCTGGCCATCCCACCGGAGCAGGATGGGCAGTGAAAGAGATAGGTGCTTGAAAGGTCTTGAGAGGAGTTAGGGGACGATCTGACTCCTGATGAAGCCACCTGGGAGTGCTATGGGAGTGAAACCATTTCACTCAGCCTGAAGGTTTCGGAGGACACTATTCTGTGCACAGCGAAGACATAAAATTCCTTTGGAGGTGGCTGCAAGGAGGGAGGAATCCCAGCCCTGCTTCCCCCTGCTTTATGTTCATTTGTTGTTGTTTCATATTGTATTAGGAGGCTTAGACTCCTCAGCTTCCCAAACCTGCAGATAGGACCCACATCATCCAAGTCATCAGACTGCCCAGGAGCCCTACTGGGGAGGATGCAGGATTGCTCACCAGCATTGCTATGATGCAGGTTGACACAAGGTCATCAGCAACTGTGTGACAGGGATGGAGCCACCACTCCGCAACACCTGTCCAGCCTTTTATGCTTTAGATACTGAGATTTACCCCATGGGATGAATATGGGAGGGTGGGGGGTGGCGGGAAAGGAGGGGTGTGGAAAGATGTTTTTCTTTTGTTGCAAGAGCATTTTGAGCAGGAGGAGCCCCCCAGGCAGGAAGTCCTCTCTGTGGGAATTTATGTTCACCCAAACAAAACCATCACTCCACCTGGGGAATGTGGGTTTCAGCCTCAGCTCTTACCCTCAATTCTTCTGCCATGTCAAAAGGAAGGAGGGAGGCTCCGGTGGGTTCCTTCTGCCCTACAGGCTCAGGGCTGTTGGACGAGCACCTCCAAAATACCACTGTCATGGAAAGCATCCTCCACTACGTCACGGCAATTCAACTCAGATCATGACTCGGTGCACACCGAGCCCATGCTCTCAGCAAAGGAGCCCAGTGCTGCTCCCTGTCACAGCCCCGCACTCACCAATGCTGCAGGGACTTTCCCAAAACCACCTACGGAGCTGAAATTGCTTTGACGTCCTGCTCCACTCGGCGCACACCGCCTGGCACTGTCCCAGTGCTTGCTGCTTACCAGCACCCTCCTGGGAACAAAAGCTCCTGCAGTATCCCCTGCCTGGTCCCAGGGATCAGCCCTGTTCCAGTTCCACCATGGCAAGCCCTCCTTATCCCAGTGCTGGTGTAACTCCCCTGCTGGATGCATCAAGGATACAAAGGCACAGCCCAGGAGGTGATTTCCCTGCCACTTTCACACTGCCTGGATTTATTTTTGCCTTTGTCTCCCACCCCAAGGTGAGACGATGTGTGAGGAGAAGGATGCCTTGTCTCCTCTGCATCCAGCTCACACCATGCTAGCATCCCTACCTCCTGCCCAAGTTCCAGCCCTGGTCTGGGGGATCAGTCACTCTTCTTGTTTTTTTTTTTCTTGGGTAGCCATCCACCCACAGTGGGAAAATATCCTATTTCCCTAATTTGCTTATGAGAATGTCGTATAGTGCTGCACACAGATAGTATCACTCCCGGTTTCCCTGCAACACCCAGCCAGTCACCCTAATGAAAAGAAAATTAGATTGGTCTGACACAATTTGTTCCTGCTAGCTCTATGCTCTCAGCCCCATTGCTGCCCTTTCGGTGTTTATCGCTTGGTGGCCTTACTAATTTGTTCCAGTGGTGTTCTGGGTACCGAGACTGACTTATCTAGAGCTTCCTGGATCCCCGTTTTTCCCCTTTCCTTGAAGAGAACAATGAATTGGGCATCCATATCCTCCCAGGACCCAGCACCACTCCACGTCTCCATCCTCTCCTCCTATTTTGCCGCTGTTGTCACTGAACACTTGTCATCTTGTTCTCTATGGACAAGCACTGGCTGTAGCATTCCTTCCAGGCTGTGCTGTTTTCATAGTTGAGCCCATAGGGAAAGCATGTTCACCTCTCCCAGGGTCATCTGAGGCAAGGAGGATCAGGTCCCACAGAAATGGGGATAGGTGGAGGGGATCTTTCCCCTTTACCCCCATGTTTTCAATGGAGATGGATGCTGAGCAGGAGGAGAGAAACAAAGGAGGAACTGTCTGTGAAAACACCAGTTGAGTACCACCTCAAATGGGTTTTGGTGCTCTGGTGGCCTCAAGGAGGTCCCTCTGGTGTAAGGAGGGAGCTCAGACCCTCCAAGGAGGCTCTTTCCAGTGTAATGGCAGCAGGATTGCTGTCAGGGTGTCCCAACCACCCCAGTCACCTACCCAGCCCCTCCAGCAGCATCCCACCGAAGACAGGAAGAGAAAGGAGAAACCATGGAGCCAACTGAAAACAAAACTAGAGAAAGCAAAATGAGAGCAGCAGGAGGAAATGCAGATGTGCTGTGAGCCTCCAGCATGCTCAGCCACAGATCTCGGTGGATCGGCACAGATCTCAGTGGAATGGGATGGGATGGAAGAGTTGTGATGGGCCTGAACCCATCATGACATACCAGGGCAGTGCAAACAGAGGTGGGGAGAGAATTGGGAAACCTGCCCAGCACCATCTCACTTCAGCCAATCCCTTCCAGAACCAACAGCCTCTTTCCCACCCAGACAAGGCCACAGAGATGCTCCCTTGTGTTTGTGTCTGACAGGTCAGTCATGAAAAGCCTCTTCCAGCCTGACTCCTCCAAAACAAAAAACACTGCTCTGAAACATCCCCACGCTCAACATTTATAAGTGACCAGGATAAGGCTTGCATGCAAGTGACTTTAATGGCACATAGCCTTACTATCCCTTTTTCCCTCTCTATAACGTTTCATTTTGCAGAAACAATGCTTTGCTGTTTCATGGTGTAGATCCCCTTGAAGATGCTCCTGCAACAGCAAGAGAGGATTTCCTCTCTATCTTCCCACCTACTTCTCTAAAAATTCTAACTTTGGGGCCAGGACTTCTTTAGGGGTTAATTGCTCACATGTTCCCAATCCCCTTTAATCATGGCCAGTGTACTTAAGGAGAGGCTGCAGGTGATCCTGCATGGCATGCACCCTGCTGCGTGGCTAGAGCTTGTTTATGGGATGATATGATACCCATTTTAAGGTCACTGTGTGCTCTAGGGATGCTCAGCTAGGGATCAGAAACCTGTATCATGCCTTAAATTCTTTTAACAATGAGCAGCAGCTATAGAAGGCCAGTCCTGTTGGGGCTAGCAGTGCTCTGCCCTGCTAACGAGGATGGAAGATGATGCCTGGAGCATAGCTTCACAGCACTACTGACACCCACTGCCCCAGAAGGCAGGAGGAAAAAATGAAGCAGTCTCACCCTCCTGCTTGCAATGTACCTTACAGGAAAGGCAGAACCAAAACTGCTGACTGAACTCCTGCTTCTTGCTTGCTGTGGCTGACTCCTTTCCCAACCATCATGCTGCTGGAGTCGTGGCATGATGCTGCTCCTTGCAACAAGCCCATAGAAGCTGAGCTGCATGTCAATGTGAGTAAGTGTGGTGTGAGCTGCACACTGCCCTGTGGAGCCTCGGGGAGAATAAGTATGGCTACCAGCTCCACTACCCTGCCCTAAGAAGGGATAGAAGCCTTCCTGGATGGGTGTTTGCCTGATGTGATCTGCTCTGGATGCTTCTGATGGACATCACAGCTCTAACAAGGTATTGATCATAGTGCCTGCACCCTCCCCCCCGTGCCTGAGCAGCCCCTCTCAAGGCTGTGTGAGTTGTTTGGTGCAACAGAAACAGAAAGCTGCTGACGATGCCACTGAGGTGTGAGATGCAAATGATGACTTTGCTTCCGCAGGGTTTCGTGGTCTCCCACCAGGACTCTGCTGCCTCCAAGCCTGCTCTTTATTAGAGTTTCTCCAGCCTTTAGCAATCATTGCTGCTTTCTCTTTCAGTTTCCGTATGCTGTATATTGGGCTGCACATCCCTGGCATTTGCTTTCAAGAGGAGAAAAGTAAGTTCAGAGCCAGGCAGCTTCACAGCTGGGGCACAAGCACTGCTGCATGGCTGCAGCCAGCACCTCGGAGCCACTTGTCCCCAGCTGAGCAGACAGCATGCCCTGATGAGACCAGCAAAGGGGGGCTGCTCTGTAGCTGGGTCTGCGGAGCATTATGATTTCTGAGTTATTAAGAGCAGCTCTGTGGAAAAGCAGCTCGCTTATCAAGCAGCAAAGCCCTGGAACCACAACAGACACCCACACTACCAGCTGCCAGGAGCCGTTATTTGCCTGCCCACGCACGTGCCATCAGCAGTCAACAAACAGCCTTGGTGTCAAACCCTTTATTCATCCCCATGGCCGGATCTGGCTCCTCCCAGGCACAGCATCCCCATCCCAGGGTTTCCCAGGATGCCTGGCAGTGTCCTTCATCCCCACAGAGGAGGAGAAAAGTGCCTGATGAAGAAAGGAAAGAAACTTTCTGCTTCCCAGCAGTCCATTAAATAGCAGTGCATGCAGGAGGCCCTGTGCTGGGACAAGACCTCAGTGTGTGGACATTCTCCAGCACCACCTCTATC